TGACATGCATGTTGGGGACCCCCTCACCCAGACACCATTTCTGATCAAAAACACTCAGCCAAATAGGAATAGAAAGGAAATTTCTCCACATAATAAAGGGCATATGAGGGGTATCCCCCCCACCAAAAAAAAAAACAGCAACAACAACAACAGAAAAAAGCTCTGCTTTCATAGTATACATTTTTCCCACTAGGCAAACATTGAGCAACTTGCTCTGAGTTGGTGCACCCAGTGGCATCACCTGGGAAGGTTCTCTCTGGTCACAGTGAATTTTGTCATAAAAGCAGTTTCACTCAAACCTTGTTTTTTTTTGGTTTTTTGATGGCTGATTTAAGAGAACAGCAGGTGGCTTTGAAATTTTGTTTCCTGCTAGGGGAAAGGTGCTGCAGAAGTTATTGTGATGTTGAATACAGCTTACAAGGACAGTGCTATGGGAAAAACTCAAAGGTATGAGTGGTTTTCTCATTTCAAAAATGATGAAATGGTGACTGATGACAAACCTTGTTCTGGACATCCATCAACTTCCTGAGCAGATGAAAATGTCACCAAAATTTGTGCACTTGTGCTCAAAGATCGACGACAGATCACTAAAGAGATAGGGCAGTTATATGGACTATCTTGGAACATGGTTCAGTGAATTTTAGCAGAAGATTTGGGAATGAGAAAGGTCACTGTGAAATTTGTGCCTCAGGTTCTGACCCAGCAGGGGAAAGAGCTTCAAGTGGAAACATGCCGTGCTTCGAAAGAACAGCAGCAACCCAGACTTTTTCCCCCAAGGTCATTATTGGTGATGAGACAGGGTGCTATCCTTATGACCCTGAAAGCAAACATCAATCGAGCCCATGGAAGACACCATCATCACCTTGCCCAAAAAAAGCGTGTCAAGTGAAATCAAAGACCTAGACCATGCTCATTTTTTTGAAGTGAGGGGCATGGTGCATTTGGCGTTCTTTCCACCAGGTCAGAGTGTTAATCAGGCGTTCTATTTAGAGGTTCTGAAAAGATAGCATAACTGTGTGACACCAACAAGGCCTGATTTGTGGCAGATGGGGGGCTGGTTTTGTCACCATGACAGTGCACCTGCTCAGATTTGGGCAAAAACCAGCATGTCTCTCTTGCCCCACACGCCTGACTCACCTGACCTTGCTCCAAGCAACTTCTTTTCTTTTCCATGAACAAAGAAGGACATGAAAGGACAGCGATTTGACGACATAGAAGAGGTGAAGAAAAAAATGAAAGAGTGCTGTTAGGCACCCATGCAGATGAGTTTGAAAAATGTTTCCAAGAATGGAATCGCAGATTTGATCCATTGTGTATCAAATGTATTAAGTGTAATGGAATGTACTTTGAAGGTGATAAGGTTGTTTGGGGCGGAAATTAAATACATAGCTTTGACAAAAATGCCAGGTTTGGGGGGGTACCCCCTCATATTTACCACCAAAAAAGCCAAGAGCACTCTCAACGAGGAGAAACTGAAAGCACTCCCCTTGGAACCAGACAGGATGTTGTGTTAGGCAGGGTTCTCTAGAGAAACAAAACCAGGACACTTGTTATTTTACACACACACACACACACACACACACACACACACACACACACACACGGATAGGATTATACAGCAAGACGGAACATAACAGCTCATTAGTCCACACAATATTACAAAAGGCTCTGTTCAACTTACTTTTGTGGAACAGTTAATATGCTGAAAGCCTTCAACTCACAGGGGTAGGGAGTGGGGGGGTGCTTCGGTCCAAGATCAAGGAAGCAGATAGTGGAGTCTTTCCTCAGGCAAAACAGGCAGAGTCTGTCCACAGGCAGGAGGCAGCAGGGTGGGTCAGCAACAGTCAATAGCACAGGAGCTTAGTAAAGCAGGCAAAGCAGGCCCAGATGGGATCTCAGACTCAAGCAAAGGTGACAGGATCCACCAGCCTCAAGCGCAAGCAATGTACACACTAGCAGCATGGCAAAGAAGGTCTTCAAGGAGCCTCAAGCTCTAGCAACATGATCCATGGGTTGGCTTGACCCACAGGTAGTGTAGCTCACAGTTTGAGGCAGAGAACTAGCTAAAGCAGCAGCATGCTGGTCCAATCATCAGAGAGCAAGAGAGATGAGGGCAGGTCTTGCAGAGCCATTTATCTCTTTGCCCTCCAATCAAGCTTCAACCTGCTTAATCTGTACCCACATGTTCCTATTGCACAGGTTGGCACATGAGCCTAACTATCACAGATGTCCTTTATCAACACTTCTATTCAATATTGTGCTGGAAATCTTGCATTTGTGTTGGACTGTTCACTGAAAGACCAGCTGGTTGCAACTGTATCTACCAATAGCTCTGTGAGATAAAGATGAAGCTCTTTGCTCCTGTAAAGATTTCTAGCCTCAGAAACTCTTTTAGGGTTGCTATGAATAGCAATTGATACAATAGCAATGAGTTAAAAGGCTACAATGGACTTGTAAAAGAACAAACAAATCTGTCTTGGAAGAAGTACAGGCAGAATGCGCCTTCAAAACAAGCAAAGCAAAACTTCGCCTCACATATTGTGTACTGTTATCAGAAGAGACCATTCTCTGGAGAAGGGCATCATGCTTGTTAAAGTAGAGGGGGACTGGAAAAGAGAAAACCCCTTAACAAAATGGAGTTACACCGTGGCGACAACCATGGGCTTGAACACAAGAACAAGTGTGAGGTTTCATGCTGTCACTATAAGTCCAAAATGACTCGATGTCATCTAATATTTTGCCAAAAATTTGGCAAAAAAACTAACACTCTCTTTATTCACAGATGAAAAGACTCTATGTATAAGAAACCCCCAAACTCAATTTTAAAATGTTGGAAATATTTAAAATATTCCTCAAAGTCACGGGGTACAGGTAACATATAAAAATAAGTCAGATTACTTTATACTGACAGAGAGCTCTGAAAAGGAAGTCTGGAATGTGAAACCATTTAAAATAGCCACTCAAAAGATGAAATACTTAGGAATAAATCTAGCCAGAGGCACTAAAGACCTACACACAGAGAATGAAGAGACCTTCCACAGGAGACCTACATAAATGGGAGAATAGAACATGCTCCTGGACAGAAAGATTTAACATTTTTAAAATGTCAATATTATCCACAGTGATCTCATTATAATACCACCCTGATCCAGATCCCAACAGCATTGTTTTAAGAGATAGGAAAACTAATCACTAACTGCTTACAGACAATAAAAAGATCCTGGAAAAATTAAGCAGTACTAAAGAAGAAAAAAGTAGGTGGCCTCTTACTTCTTGTAGTTAGCAGCTCAAAGTATAACCACTATGCCACCCAGGCTCCTGACCTCTTACTTCTTGATCTCAAAACCTACTATACAACCACAGTGGTCAAAATTGTCTGGTATTGGTACAACAATGGATACATAAGCCAATAGAACAGAATTGAGAACCAGAAGTAAACTCATTCACCTACACACAGCTATTTTTTCACAAAGAGCTGAAACACATAAATCTGAGAAGTCTCTTTAACAAATGGTACCGGCAAAACTGGATTTGCATTTGCAGAAAAGGGCCCATATGCCACACCATTTACCAAAACACACACAAAATAGATCAAAGATCTAAATGTGAAACCTAGAACCTTATCAATCATCAATGAAAAAACAGGAATAAACTATACGTGGTATAAATATACTATCACCCAGAGTGCTGTGGAACAAGGAATATCATTGCTGATGCCAGATGGATCTTGAATGGAAGCAGAAAATACTCTGTATGGAGAGTAAATAATCAGAGGAGCTGGTTTATATGAAGAAGAACGTGAAATGTGCAGATGACATAACTTTGCTTGCTGAAAATGAGAAGAACTCGAAACACATGCTGAAGAAGATAAAAGGTTGCAGCCTTCGGTATGGATTACAACTCATTCTGAAACAGAACAGCAAAGCAGGACCGGGCAGTATTTCATACTCTTGCATAGTGTCACCACGGGTCAGAACCGACTTGATGGCGCCTAACAACAGCCCCTAACGAAAAGCACACAAACAGGTGAACACAAACTAGATAGCTGGCATCAAAACGTTACCAAAAGAATAAAAGGAGAACTCACACACCGACGGAACTTTTGGACAATGTTATAGCCGCCATGGGACTAATCTCTAAAGTTTATTGAAAAGTTCAACCCCTCAACCAGAAAAAGACAAGTAACCCAGTTTTTATATACACTTTACCAAAGAAGATGTTCAGATAGTGAACAAATTAGTGAGGAAATGTTTACCATCATTTGCTATTAGAAGATGCAAATAAAAATAACGATGAGATATCATCTCATCCCCGCATTAATAGCGAAGTTCAAAATAACTGAAAACAAGTGCTGGTGCTGCTGCTGAGAGACTCGTCCTCACACACTGCTGATGGGACTGTAAAGTGGGGTGATCACTGTGAAAAGCAGAACGGCATTGTCTCAACGAGTTGGGAGCAGAAATACCACATGACCTGGCAGCCCTCTACTTGGTATATACCCTAGATAAAGAAGAGTCATGCACTGATAGACATATGCACATTCACAGCCATCACAGCACATCTGCAAGCAAAAAGATAAAACAACCTAAATCCTCATTGGTGGAATCATGGATAAATGTTGGTAAATAGACACAACTGAAAACTAAGCAACATTAAAGAATTGACAATGAATCTGCAAAACACCTCATAACATAGATAAACCTAGAGGGCATTATGCTAAGCGAAATCAGTCAGTCACAAAAGGAGGACAAATATTGTATGATACCCCTATTGTAAAAATTCAAGAAAAAAATTTTTTACACTAAAAGAAACAGTCTCTGAAGATGGTTACCGGGAGTGGGAGAGGAGAGAGTGGATAAGCGTTGAGTAAAGGAATAGGTAAACTACAAAAAGAGAGGCTGGCAAAAAAAAAAAAGATGGATGCAGGGGAAGACACTAGGAGGTTTGCAAGATTCCAAGGCAACAGAGCCAAATATTGTTGCATAAACAATGCTGCAGCAATGGTGCCCTATGAGTGCATGATGAGACAGACAGAGGCTCAACAGAATGGGAGTATGCCCAACCATATGTAAGTTTGACAAAGGCTATTTGTACACGAGCACTTACCTTTGCAGCATTATATCCGTCAACGTGGTGGAGTGTACAGAGGGCAAAATTATAAAAACTTCTTGCTGACATTGCTAGATGTTATTAAGTCATTTCTGACTCGTGGTGACCGCATTTGGGTCAACAGAACAACAGAATGAAACATTGCCTAGTCCAGCGCCGTCCTCGTATTGTTAAGTTTGAGCCCATTGTTACAGTCCCTGGGTTAATCCATCTTTTCCCTCTACTTTACCAAGCATATGATGTCATTTTCCAAAGACCAGTGTCTCCTGTTAGTCTGCCTCACACCGCCCATGCATCTAAGGAATATATGCGTTCATATTTCTTCTATTTGTTCTTCGGGCAGTGCACAGACCTTTGTTTGTTTCTCAACAACACTATGATTTATGCACATTAATTCTTCTGTGGTCTTCCTTGTTCGATTTTCAAATGACCTAGACATTAACACATACTTTGGAGGAATGAGTCTCTGGGTCTATGGGCTCAGGACCATAGTCCTAATCAATCAGCATAATAAAGTTCACAAATATTCTATATCCTGTGTTAGTGAGTAGTGTGACTGGCATCTTAAAACTCAGCAGCAGCCATCTAATTTACAGTTACTGGTCTCTTCCCATTCAAAAGAAACAACAGTAATGAAAATAAAACAAAACAAAAATCATATAGAAAGCACTTGTCCACTAGACTAATGAGCCATGCAAACATCAGTCTCCACAACCCTGAGACCTTAAGAACTAGATGGTGCCTGGCTACCACTATCCACTGGACTGAAAATGAACGGTAGGAGAAAAATGTGGAATAAAACCCAAATCATAAAATAGGCCAGGCTGATAGAAACTACAGATCACCTCCAAGTTTGAATAATCAACTATATGAAGATCAAAATGTCAGCATGCACCCAAGGAGAAAGTGTAGAGGGTCAGGAAAGAAGGAGGAGCGGAAACAGGAAGCATAAGGCGGAAGTTGGATAAGGAGGGGTGGGGGTGGGGAGCGGGGATTGTGATGGATACATTGAAACAAGATGTATATGCGTCACTGAATGTAAAACTGATGTGTCAGCAACTTCATTTCAAAATCAACTTGATTTGTTTTGCAGATACCTCTCTGGCAGGGGACTTAGAAAAGGAAGGATTATGTTAGTTGTCAAGAAAAAAGATGCTATTTTGGCTGAACTTTGAGAGATAGGTAGGATTCTGGACAAAACACTGGTAAGTAAAAAGGACATTCCAGGTGCAGCGAATAGCTTGATTAATGGCATGGAGATAGGAATGTACAAGGCAAATACAGAAATCTGTCTAAAATCGAAGAGACTGTGCATATGGTTATGTCGTTAAACGCAGGCTCTCACAGCTGCTCAGCACCCCCATCCACCCACTCGCCCTGCTGAAGTTGAACCTGTGATGGGAGTTGTAGTAGGCCTGGAGCCAGCAGTGTCTCACTTAAACCACAGAGCTTAAAAAGGAAAAATAAGTTTATTATAGCCAAATGTTGATTTCATTTTCACTGGTATTTATTTCGCTTCATTCTGGGACACTTTCCCCCCTCAGTTTTCTTGTCACATAATCCACATATTCTACAATTCAATAGTTTCATCATATCAAGAGAGTTTTTTCAATCATTTCCACAATCAGTTTTAGAAATATTTTCTTCTGTTTTGTACCCATTATTATTAGCTCCTTATTTTCCCCCAGGCCTCTCTGCCATACCCCCAAGAAACCATTCATTCAGTTACTGTCTCTATAGATTTCTATTTCTTTTTAATGATAAATCTCTGATGCATTTTAAATGCCAGTATATTTGTGTTTCAGTTTTCCCTGCTATCCATGTCTAACATACTATGTATGAAAGGAAAGTGACCGGCTGTCCATTATTGCTAAGAGAAACAGTTTTGTTGGGGTGTGTCCCCAAAAGTCACAATGTTTTGCATCAACTGTGAACTGTTTAAAAATGAAACTCTTTCCTCTTTAGAATATTACTACCACTAAATCCAAACCAAATCCACTGCCGCATCTTTTTCCTATGAATTTTAGATCTTTACAGGAGCAGACCACCTCTAGTACTGCACTCTACTGTGATCTCCCCTGCCCGTGCCTTTCTCCTCCCAGAGTTCTCTCAACTCTATTGGCACTTGTACCCAGGGTGGGAGCAAGGTCTTTCTGGTGAATCAAGACGTGACTGCAGCCTCTGTTCTGTTCTCGGCAAGCCTGGAGGTTGGACAGTGTGCGTTCCTTTCCATTCTGGAGGCCTCAAAGGACAGGAAGTGATACCAGACACATAGGGCCTACAGGCCTCAAGAAAAGGGGAAAAAACCAAGACAAACAAGCATGCATTTTACATAAGACTTTTTGAATCTGGACCTTGGTAAAGAAATAACTGTTCCTTCACTCTCTCCCAACTAACTCTGATAGTTAGTTACCTTTCCTCCATATTCCTCACAGCTCCACTTTGTGTCTCCCATCAAGGAAAAGAGGTCCATACCCTTTCTTACACAAGCCTTATCTTCAGCTAGATTTCCTTTATGAGAGTGCATGGTGTACAGGATAAACTACACTCCATGTTACGTCACTACACCAGCGCATTTGTGTCCCTTAGGATTCTTGGTTATGAACCACAGAGGTAAATTCTGGCTCTGATTTACGCCAAAAAGCAAAGTACTGAAAGGATAGTTCACAAAATCACGGGAAAGCTAGAGGTCCAAAGCCAAGGGGGCCACATAACTGGGATCTCCATTGTTGCCAATGAAGTGTAGGCTCTGACCTAACCAATGCTGCATTACAGAATATTCTGCTAGCCCCAATGCCCTTTGAAACTGCATGCTGCGACCAGAACAGAGGGACACTGTTCTTTTGTTGTCAATCACTAGCTTTCAAGTCAAATCTAGCCAACCCAAGTCACATGACCATTCCTCTCTACCAGCCAAACCTGAAATGTAGCTTGGTTCTTAAAATATGTTTTTTTTCAATAGAAAGTTAAAAAAAGAAGAGAGAGAGAGTAAATGTTTAGAAAATAATGATGGCAATATATGTACAAATATGCTTGATACAATTGATGTATGGATTGTTATATGACAAAATAATACTTTATAAATTATCGAGGGCTCATAAGGGAGGGGAAAGCGGGGAGGGAGGGGAAAAAAATGAGGACCTGATGCCAGGGGCTTAAGTGGAGCAAATGTTTTGAGAATGATGAGGGCA